AAACAAGTTGTATGCCAACGCCTCTAAGTGCATCTTTGGTGCACAAGAGATTCCCTATTAGGGTGCTTCATTGGGAAGCGTGGTCTTAGAGCGGATCCCGCTAAGATAAAAGCCATAGTCGATTGGCCGGTTCCTCAGAACCAGAAGGACTTACGTAAGTGGCTTGGTCTTGCCAATTACTTACACAAGTATAGTGCATACTATGCAGACATGGCTCGACCATTATCCAATCTCCTTAAAAAGGATGTGGAATGGTGTTGGACGAACACCGAGCAGAAAGCCTTTACGGCTGTAAAAGAGAGTCTTCTTCATGCGCCAATCTTGGCTTTGCCTGATCCTGAGCGATCTTTCAGTGTCGTCTGTGACGCATCTGACTTTGCCATCGGCAGTGCTCTGTTACAAACAGATAATGATGGACGGGAACGCGTCATTGCGTTTGAGTCCCGGCAGCTGAAAGCAGCTGAAAAGAACTATCCAGTTCATGACAAAGAGCTACTTGCAATGAAGTATGCTTTAGTTAAATTCAGAGTTCATCTGCTTGGCTCTAAGCCTTTTGTGATCTTTACAGATCATGCGTCATTACGCACTGCGACCCAGTCGCCACATCTCTCTCAGCGAATGGCTCGTTGGCTCTCATTCTTTGCGGAATATAACTTCGAGGTGAAGTATAAGCCGGGCAAACAGAATGCTTTGGTTGATGCGTTGTCACGCAGGCCTGACTATGAGCTTGCTCATGTTACGACTCTGTCACCATCGGTCACAGACCTCATTCGTTCGGCATATGCCAAAGATGAACACTGTGTAGCTTTGCTACGTGCTCTGGGGAGCGAGGAGTTTAACAACTCAGACATTAAATTGTCGGCACGTTTGCGTGCGAGGCTACATCGATATCCCATCGATCAAGGCCAGTTGTGCTATAGCACGGATGTGGAGGATACTCCCCGTATCGTTGTCCCTCATGATGAGGAATTGAAGTATCGCATCCTCTATGAGGCGCATGATACTGCGTTGGGCGGTCATCTCGGTCGCAAGAAGACATATAGCTCCGTGAGCCAATATTATTGGTGGTCCAAACTTTACAAATGGGTAAGCACATATGTGCGTACGTGTGAAACGTGTCAACGGGTGAAACCCTCAGCTCATGCGGCTGCGCCGCTGGCTAGTTTGCCTATACCCTCTGGGTGCTGGGGGTCCATCAGTATGGATTTCATGTTCGGTCTGCCGAAAGATGTGCAAGGCAATACGGGTATTGTGGTCTTTGTTGACCGTTTGAGCAAGATGGCTCAATTAGCGGCTGTGCCAGATACCATTGATGGTGAAGGTACAGCTTCGCTGTTTATCGATCGAGTGTTTCGACAACACGGCTTGCCTATGGCAATTGTCTCTCACCGAGACCCTCGCTTCACTAGGAAGTTTTGGAAGTCCATCTTCAAGGTGCTCGGCACACGTTTGGACATGTCCACGGCAGATCATCCGCAGACAGATGGTCAAACCGAGCGAGTCAATCGCGTTATCAATGACATATTACGCAGTGTTTGCGCTAATACACCAAAACGTTGGAGTTCGATGCTTCCTGTTGTTGAGTTCGCGTTAAATAACGCTGTTCACGCCTCTACAGGCTTTACTCCATTCTACGTGAACGGTCTCACACACCCTCGCGTTCCGTTGACGCTACCACTGCGTGTTTCAGGGCTTGGTGGGGGAGAGATGGCCGATAGGCTTGCTGGTATCAGCCCTGCTACTGTTCATAAACAGGTAGGCGTGTTTCTCGCAACGCGCTTGAATGTGTTACGACACGTACGTGATGCACTGGCTGATAGCCAAGACAAGCAGAAGGAACAAGCTGATGCTAAAGCAAGAGGATGTATTGAACGTTATGAGGTCCGAGACCAAGTTCTACTCAATGCTAAAAACCTACCTACAAATGTAGTGTCTGCCGTCTTCAAGACAAAGTTGCGTCCGCGCTTCATTGGGCCATTCACGGTCATTGCTAAGAAGGGATTGGCGTATACGCTCAACCTCCCGCGCAAACTGCGCACGCACCCAGTGTTCTACGTTGGCTTACTTACGCCGTATCGGGATCCGTCCCATGTGAACTCGGAGGCGCTTGCGCCGGGTAATAGGGCCATGCCGTCGGCTGTTGCATCCGAACCAGGAGGTCAAGCTGACCATCCACACGGGCTGAGGCCAACTCCAATGCTTGAACACGGGCTTGCATCGCGTCGAGCGCACTCTGGGTCTTACCCAATGTCTCTTGGAGACCACTCAGCTCACGGAGCACCTTCTCATGCTCCTCCTTCGGTACCCCGACCACCACCGACTCTGCTTGATGAGCAAGGGAACCACCAGTTCCATGTGAAGCGACTCCTTCAGCGACGTCGTCGTCGTGGCCAATACCAGTATCTGGTGAAGTGGCGAGGTACCCGGAGTCGGAGAACTCGTGGAAGTATGAGATACCCCTTCGGCAGGACTGCCCTTACGCCGTGGATGTTTTTGAACATCGTGGCCAGGGTCGCCTTGCGAGCGAGAACGCTTCTCACCAATAGTGGTGGGAGGTGGCGTGTTGCTCCGCACCTTAGGGTCGTGACCCGTGGCTACCATTGTAGCCGGAGAATAACGCGTACGTGTACGCAACTGGCCTCTGGCCTTGAGATTGGCATGCTCGAACCGGAGCTTCCGTTCCAGACGAACGTCAGCCACATCGGCGCTGGCCCGCAGCGTTGGCACACTGTAAGATGCCGCTCGCGGTACACCCAACGAATGAACTCATTGTCCTCCTCCTCGGGCAGTTCGCCAGCGAACAACAAGATGGGCACGCCCTTTATCGGTCGAAACGAAACACCACGAGAAAGACTCTCAAGGTGCGCAAGGTACTGACCTTGCGTGGTAAAGGCTGGTTCGAGATACCTCTCATTTAGAGCCTTGCGAAAGGCGATATCTTCTGGCGACGTAGCCTCGGGGCCAATGGCCCATGTTGAAAGGCTACGGCCTTCCGTTTGACGGAGGCGTTGCTCCACGTCTGGTGTTGAGAACACGTAACCACTCCGGTTTCGAATAACCGCCTGGGTATGAGTGCGACGTAGAGCACGCTCCTCACGCTGACGGATCAGCTCCTGTTGCTCGTCGAGCGGGTTCGAGATGATGTTCTCACCTGCATCTGTTGTATGATGCTGCGCCACTGGCGCGGTGGTATCACCACGTTCAACGAACGGATTCGGTGCTGTAAGAGGACGAGCCTCAGGTACAGCGGAGTGGGATGATATCCCGTCATCGCCATGGACACTGGTATCACTACCATAGTCCACATCCTCGTCGAAGTCGAGGTAAGATGAAAGAGTCCGAGACTCGCTGGGTGGCAATGCCATGGTGTTTCGTGTTTAGCAACCGCGAGGTTAAGCACACACACACCGACCTCTTCGAGGAAAGAAGCCGATTGACGTTTGGTGGTAACGTCAGTCTGGCGGGGGAGGGTGTAACGGGGTTACACGTCGGCTGGTAGTCGACGATAGGTGTGGTGCACACAAGAGAGGGGGTTACCCTATAAAGTAATTTTAGATCACAGTGAGTGTATCAATTGTTGAAGACTGATGTCTATCATGAATTGATTGCGAGATCTTTTAAGAGGTTATTTAGGGCAGGTTAAATACGTTGTTCTAAGGTGTTCTTTTAGGTTAATCAAAGAAATAAAAATTCAGTTCCCCTTTTGATCACTGAAAGACACGTGCCTTACGAGGCGTCTTTGATCGATAGGAGCTAGCAATACCTGTGAAGGTAGCTGCTCCTGAGCACTCTGTGCTGTGATTCTCTTGAATCGTTTGGTCCATCAGGAACGGGGACCGTAAGCTCTCTGAGCTTGTTGACTCTCTGAGTCGGGTTCGTAGAACCAAAGTTGCTCGTAAGAGCGTTAAGTCTTCCTCTGACTTAAGGAGCTGTGTAGCTCCGCTACACGCTCAATGAGCGGTGAGTATACGTCACCTTACATTTTCCGTATCAATTATAATGTCAGGACTAATAAACAAAGAAGGGGTGTGGGACATTATGATGTTCAACACAGTTTCATCTATCCCACCACCAAGTTCCATCGACTTAGTACTTCAGCCTTCCTATGTACTCTGTACGTGATGTGATAGGGCACTGACAACCTTTGCTATCAGTGAGAGTTTGCTCCGTACTGTTATCAGTACGTGAGTGCCAGTGCCTCGTTTCTACGCCCCCAAGAAACCATACACCCCTGCAGGCACAGCGTCAGTGGTGTGTAATGGGTAAGAATATAGAGGGCCACACTTCATCTGACATCCGACGATTGCGGTGGCGAGCTGTCCACTCCAAGTCCAGCTGGAAACATGTTTGTTGGCATGAAGCGTACAGCGCTTTTTCTTATCTAGGTTTGCAATGAGTTTCTCCAACGTGTTGAGACTGACAACGTGAGACCTGGGCCTACGATTCTTTCGGTGATGACGATTATGCAAACGAGTGAGGCGGCAAATTGACAACACTGGTAGTTTCTAGCCTTGCAGTTCTACCTTTGTTGCGCCTGTGTCATTGATGGTGAATGTTGTATACCATTCGAAACTTTCCGCGAAGTACGAACTTTTCCACCAAGGTTGGAAACAAACATTAGGGACTCGTGAGTGGAGCGATAATTCAGAAAAGCGGGTGTGGTTTTGGGATACATTTGTAGCATTTATGAAATACTTCGTGGTAATGCAAATATCGATCTCCAAGATTAATTTTCTTTGCATTAGAATAAAGACCCCCAAATGGGTCGAATTGTCACATCAGTTTTAAACGCCAATCTGGTCGGATCTAATTTCTGCAAGGCGCCTTTTATAACGTAGCACAACGTTTTGCACCACACTTTGTACCGTCCCATCAGCAGCAGGCAGTCCTCAAACGTGAAGGATCTGGATTGTGCCCACGACGACTGACACGCAATTGCGCAGGCAACACCATAACAGCAGATGCTGCTGTTTTATTGTGTGAGAGTTATCACATATGACTCACCGATGCTGCAGAAGTGAGGCCTTGGTCCAAAAGTAACCCAAGTCTAACATCGCAGCATCTTTCAGCGGGCCGATGTAGGTTCCACCGCCCAACACGAACAGTCTACCACTGTCGGTCAGGACGCTTGAGTGCCAAGCACGAGGAGTTAGTACGTAGTCGCTCGGAACAGGTACCTTCATCCATTCGCAATTCCCAACGTCCAGCATATATAAGCTGCTATCCTCACACTCAGCAGTTCGACCACCAACAACAAACAGAAATTCACCGACGGTATGAGCTGTATGATGAGATCGCGGTGGCGGAACATCGCCCACGCATTCCAACATCGTCCAAAACTGCTTCTCGATGTCAAATATCCACACGTCGTTCATTCTCTCATCATTAAGCTGGCCATTTCCACCGAAGACAATCAGTCGGTCCGAATGGTGTTTTGATCTTTGCAGCAAGCACATTGAGTGACCGTCCCGAGCCAAAGGCCAATCATCACGACTGTTTGAACGAATTTCATCCCAAACAACTGTCGGGCCCACCACGCCATCACTGCCTGCGGGAGCGACGTCAGGTTGCGGATCGCATCGCACGACTAGTAATTGATTGCTTACGCCTTGCTTCGTTCGCCCACCAAAAATGTATGCAGCTCGATGGCCGGTCTCTTCCACGACTGACATCGCTGCATGGCCTGACCGGGAAGTAGGTTTGTCCGTTGAGCGGTGCAAACAGTGAGGATGTAGCCATCGAAATCCGCGACGTGGATCGGAGTCCAGCAGGTAAACTCTGGAGTCGTCACCTCGTGACGATACCCCGCCGTATACACAGTATAATTCTCTGTTTCCGTCGCCGATGGATGAGACCGAGTGCCACGCACGTGACGTCGGTGCGATTGTGTCTCGGGTAGGCACCACTGCCCAGCTCGACATGTCGTTTTCATCTAGCACATACACAGTAGGTTTTTGATCGCGCACGGCTCTTCCACCAAAAAGATAAATCTGTCTGTCTGCTCCTTGCCAAAGAGTGTGTCCGTTTACAGCAGAAGGACCTGGGTTGCCCCGTACAGCATGCTTTTTCCACCCTTCACGAACAGACACGATTGCAGCTGCTCGTACAGCCGCTTTTCTATGCTTTGCACGAACTGCATGCTCTGACGCATCTGTAGCCGTATCCACGATAGATCGAAGCTTCGTATAGCACTCTTTGTTGCGCGACTCAAACTGCAAAGCCGCTTCGATATCAGTGACAGCTTTTGTAAACTGATGCAGTGCGATGTACGCTGTTGCTCTACGCATATATGACTACAACGAACGGTCAGCAAAGTATCGTGAGGAGATGAACAGAAGGCAGGAACAGATGCACCTTAATTGTAGGTGCCACCTCGATCGCCTTGCAGCAGTCTGCGATGGCGAGCTCAAATCGCTCTATCTGTGAAAACATAGCAACCGGAACGTCAGCGCACCCTCCCACCAAACCAAAAAAGCAACACACGCATAAACTCACTAAACCTTCAAATAGGCTGCAGCTCGGTTTGAGAGGCAGACCGCGTTACTCGGGTCCAACGCGAGGCATCTGGAGACATTGCCACGACCAAGAAACAGTCAGCAATGACGCCAGTGCGTCTCATCTATAGAAAAGCACGTGCAGAGACCGAGTGTACGCAGAAATAGCATCGTCCATGAGCCCTTGGCGAAAGAACGCGTTCCCTTCGTTCTTAGCATACACAGCGAGCTGCTCGTCAGCCGCGTTTGTCGTCAACCGCTCATTGTGTGGTCGTTCATTGTCCCGAAGCAGATTTCCATGGCCATTAGCGCTCAGAAGGTCCCGAACTTGCGCGGCCGAGAGCTGCTGCAGCTCGCGACAGAGGTCGTCGGACATTTGACAAAAAGAAATAGAGATGGAGGGCGTCGATAGCGTCCCGTAAATGCAATAGAAAAAGAGATGGAAAGTGGGCACTGTGTCTTACTCGTTTAAATCCAAAACGTCTCAAACGACCATTTCCAAGTCAATTTTGTGTACAAAATATGTGTCCTACACACATGGGCGTACACAAATGCTCAACCCACTGCCCTTTTCGTATTTCTCAAGTTGTCATCCTAGACGCTCGACCGACCGACCGACCGACCGACCGACCGAGAAGCGAAGCCATCACCGCCTCGTTCGACCAGGAGCTCTCCCTCTAGCAGTCGTATCCTTATGGACTACGTGTGGAACCAGTTCCAAGCCGCGTATCAGCGCAAAGGGTTCTCCGTGATGGACGAAGGCGCGGGAAAGCTGTCGCAGCCGCTCATGACGAGCAACAGCGAAGACGACGAGAGCGAAGACGACGACACGCAGGAGCTGAACGGTCTGTTGCCCCGTGCAGCGCTGCCGAAGCGCGTGGATGAGGCGGCAGCGACGCGACGGAAGAAGAGGCGGCGCAAAGACGACGAAGATCTGGGGGAAGTGGCTGCCGTGCGTCTCGCGCCTTTGCTGCTGCTGCGGTCGGTGAGCAAAGCGACAGTGTCGCTCTCGACCGCGTGGAGTCTCTTGCGGCTGCATGCGCACCGCAAAAGCTCTGGCTACACGTCCAGGAGCTTGTTGCCCACCTCGGCGGCCACACGGCCGACAGCTCTCGCGCCGGAGACGGACGCGGCGTCGGACCGTGCGCTGGCGGTGCTGGCCGTCGTCACGCTGGGGGTCTGCGGCCTGTTGCTGCTCGGGGTGTACATCCACACGACGTAGAGGAGCGGGGGATTGCATGGTGTGTGTTTCACTTGCCGATTGAATTGACTGGACGCGTTATACATGTGTGCTGTGCTCGGAGGACGCGTCTCGTGCTCTCTCTCTCTCTCTTTGCGTAGGGTGGAAGCTCAAGCGTCCGACTTGGTGCTGTCACGCGTGCGGCGCTTCTTGCCCGCGTGTTTGTTTGTGCTGCGGTTCGTATCAGGGGACTCAATCGTAGACGCGCTTGGGCACGTGGGAGCTAGTGGACACGTCGAGCACGAAGGGCGCGCTGCAGTGCACACGGCCTGGCCAAAGCCCACGACCGCGAGGGACAGGCTGCCCCAGTGTTCGCGAGGGACCCACTCCTCGAGCGCTCGTCTCGTGTCTTCCGGAGTTGAGGTCGACGCCCAGCCAAGTCGCTGCGCTACGCGATGAACGTGTGTGTCGACGACAATGCCATCCACGTGTCCCCATGCAAGTAGCGCGACCAAACGGCCGATCTTGGATCCAATGCCTGGCAGCTCGAGGAGCTGCTCCAGTGCACGAGGAATGTCCCCGTGATAGTGCGTGCGCAGGGTGTCCGCTACTTGCTTGAGTTGACGTGCCTTGCGACGGTAGAACCCCACTGGCTTGAGCACTGCCCTTAGCTCGTCTTCGCTTGTGGCCTGCAAGGTCTCGATCGTAAAGCCTTCTTCACTCGCTCCGAGTCGATGCAGACGTTGCATTGCTGCGTACGTGATCGAGTCTTGAGTCTGAGAGCTAAGCAGCGCTGCTACGAGTAGCTGGAAGCGCTCGACTTTGGCGCTCGAGACGCCAGGGGCTACGCACACGTGCGTTCCAAACGTGTCGACGGAGGTGTCGGCCATATCTTTTCGTGCTTCATAGAGCTTTAGCAGGAGCGCGAGGCGTGCAGTTGGCTCCCTGACGTCGCGTTTGGGCCTGGCGGACTGGACCTCAAGGGGTTGCCGGGTGGTGACGGTCTCTGGCTTGACGTCAGACTGGACGCCTCCCACCGAACGGCTTGTTACGCACTCCTTCGGGTGCTTGAAGGTGTGCTCGAACTCGTGCACACCGAACTCTCTCTTGACGTCCGTGTTGACGCTATTGTCCTCGCGCCCTGAAGCCAATGCGAAGCGTACGAATGGATTGCAACTGCGTTCGCTCGTCCCACGTGCTGTCATCACCACGTCAGAGAAAACCAAATGGCGGGTGACCGCGGCACAAGAATGCATAGAAAAGCTCGAGCACGCGCAACAAAAGCGACCCCATGTTAACTTGTGTGTGTATGTGTGCGAGGGTTAGACAGGTCGCTTGGCATTCCGAATCGCTTCTTCTTCCGTTCTCGCTCAAGACTAGTCAAAGAGCTGGAGGGGAGCTCCAGTCGTATGCCAACGACACTCGATGGCAAACGTCGTGCCTACACTATCGACGCCCCGTGACGCTCGCCACTCTTCATCCTCGGTTCGACACACGGTCCACGTACGCGTAATAAATCTGGTCGAAGAATTGCGTGTCATCCAGCAGACCAATCAGTGTCTGCTTCAACTGCTCCTTGTTCACACTGGACGCCGTCGGTTGCTGCTTCTGCTGGTGCCGCGCTCGATTTTGCGAGATCATGTCCATAATTGCTTCACCCGCAGCGACACCGTCGGCCTTGGAAATTGGAATCATACCGCTCGAGCTGCCGACCATCGAGGCGATTTGCTGCTGCTTGACCAGGCCGTTCGCGCTCCCCCCACTGCTGCTGCTGCTGTTGCTACGCTTGTCTTTCGGGTCTCGCTGCAGAATCGCCGTGGGTTTTGTTGCACTCGTGCCACGTCGCTTTGAATCATCCAATTTGCTGCGCGAACGTCCTCGATTGCGCGGTTGTGACGGAGGCCGCTCCGGTTGTTGTTCTTGCTGCTGTGTAGGCTGTGACGTCTGCTGCTGCTGCTGCATCTTTGGCTGAGCCCTTGTCTTGATCGGCGACAGCCCCTTTGTGGGCTGATGCGTAGTGTCCACAATGGCAGCGCCTTGCGGAGCTTTCAGCGACTGGATGAGACTGCAGGCGAAGAAACGACCGCGTTAGCCTCAACAAATTGCATCAGGCAGCCAGATCGCGCCCGAACAAAGTTGCCTACCGTTGAAACAGCAAGAGGATCTTGGTGCGATCTTCTTCGGGAAAGAACCAGATGCCATAGATCGCAAACCCCGACGGGTACGTCTACCACCGTCAGCACGAACACACAACACACTGTCAAATCACGACCAGCCTCGTGGATCCCGCGCATCATTCGCCTCCCGCCTACCGAATCGGGACTGCGAAGAATAAGAAAGCTATCAACATTGTCCACTTGAAGACGTCCGTCTAGCTCTAGCTTCATGTTGGTCGTGCTCAGTCGATTGTTCACAAAGACCTGGAAACGCGGCGACGACGATCTGCATTGGGACAGCACATACCGGAACTTGTCCGTTGGTTTCCGATTGACCGTCAACCATTGTACCAACCGTTTCATCGGCGCACCTTTTCACAACGAACAAGCAGCCCTCGACGTCTTTCCGTTTCTGCAACATAACAAAGCCGAGCAACGTAAGCCTTCGCAGAGCTCTGTGTCTCTCCCTCTGTCGTAGCTGACGTACCCAGCTCTGCGCGTCCTGATCGAACTCGTACATGACCACGTGGCCGGCAGTGTCCACGATCTCCATCACGTCCGCATCCTGGCGCTTGAGCACCTGCAGGTTCACAGCGTTCGACTGCGCGCGATCCACCTGCGCCATCTTTTCAATCTACTTGACTGGCGTTGGACGTCCTTCCAAATGGCGTGGGCGTGGTCCGTTGAGCAACTTAAGAGCGTCGATATCACGCGCTGCGGCTCAACGATAACGGCCACTTAAAACAACGACTTTAGCGCATTTTCACGGACATTTGCGCGCCAGGAACCAATAGAAATCGCCAGACAGACTGTATAATGACAGGTTACCACCGACACAAATAAATAAGAAAAGCCGCTAGACAGCAGATGTACAGGAGCCCATGAGCGTGAATCAATTGTACGAGCTCGAGCCTCAAGATCCGAGTGCATACAGAAGCGCTTGCGAACTCGACCAACAGAATCTACAAGCACGCCTGATCGCATACGGAAAAGTAAGTGCAGTGCAACATCTAGTGCACGACAAGCTTCTTTCTAGGAACGTCGTGCGTGGAAAAGCAGTGATTGAGCTCTGCAATGATGCGCGGCATTCTGGGAAGAAGCGCACATTGTCTACTACGGCCTCAACAACTCAACAAGGCATGCATGTACTTTGTGGTCTGCTGCTTCCGTACAATCTCGCGATCTTGTGAGTTCGTTCCTGATGGCCATCTTCGTAGCAGACTCGTAAACATCTGAGTGTGTTGAAGTAGCATACGCACGTCACTGTCGCTTACTTGTATCGTTGTATTGTAGACTGGCGCAGTGCCGTTGGCAACGTCTTTGCCCACGGCCACATCGTCCAAAGGTTTGCAACAGACAGCGGGTTGCAGCATGTCGTATCTCGTGTACTTGCTATTGGTGGACCTATCATGTACACTGGCGCACTTCTAATCATGACGAGTACTCCTAACATCCTCCTCCTCTTTCTGTCAGACATTCGACAAGGCTGTATGTACGCTTGCTCTGGCTTTCCCTTTGAGTAGTCGAGCTATAAGACGTCACGGTTCACCGATTGCCTGACTGCAAAGGACTACACGTGCCAGTAGTTGAAGGCAAAAGCACGCATGATTCTTATAGCATAAAAATCAATGGCGATTGATCTACTTTCATCGAGCGTTCTCCGTGTCAGACGACCCGACCACCTTTCCTAACAAGGTACATCAGGTGGCGCCGGCGCTCTGCCTCGTTCCCGTTTCGATACTCTTCTTCGCTCCAAAAAGTGCAAATGGAGACGGGCTAGCTCCAGTCGAGATCGCCATCTAAATGCAATGCATTCAACGCGCCTACAGTGGCTCACGCAAGTCCACGTAAATACCTTAGCTTGTGGCGTTTCTGAGCTTATCCGAGTCGGCCAACTGCATGAGAGGGGTCATGCATGAAATGCCTCGGTTGGGAGAGTGATCAACATGTTCATTCATCGAAACCATCGACATATTGCATTCAACGGGATCTGAACACGACTCGTTGAGGCCGCGGCGGAGCCATAGGTCCGACTATAGGAAAAGGTGACCACGCGCATTGCTTCCTTACTTCACGGAGACAGTAGCTATCGAGAAGGCAACGGGTGAAACTTCGCCTAGCATCATGCTTTTATCGACGAAAGCAGGCTTGGCTTTTGATACAGCATCGGCTCAACTTACTCATGGAGTAGCGCGGAGCGATGCAGTGTGTAGAAGAGTGCAGACCACGCCACCACAAAGTGTCGCGCTTTTTGAAAGCTTCGGGGTACGTCAACACACAGCGTTGGCAAAACGCGGACATCGGGGCCCCGACACAGTCGTCCAAGGGTGCTATCGCACGACGCTATCGATCCATTTACTCTCGAGCTCAGAGCAGTCTCGGCGTCTACTATGGTTTGATACGACAAGCTACCGGCTCCATCGCTATATTCTTGGCCCAGAAGTTGTCTGACGTCTTGTGCATAAGCATAGACTGATATACCGTCATGGGATCGCTTCTCCTTCTTCGATCCGTCGTCGTGAACGGAACCAGCCCCTCATTTCCACCACTAATCCAGGCCCTCCTGACAGCCCACTACTCTCAATTGCATTCGTGATAAAGCACAATGAGGAGTTTATGCCTCACGCTCGCCCGCCGAAACATCCGTAGAAGCTTGTAGAAGTGATAGCGTGAGTACTTATTATTCGCATCTAATCACCAACGGATAAGCCGTTTTCATCACCAATGCTCAAACGGCCGAGTGACCCTGGAAGGCGATAGCAAAAGTACGGTTGTTGAGCTTATCCACGCCAGCGAGTCTCCTTGCAATCACGAACTGAGCAGTCAATGCTCGTTCGAGTGAATCGAAGTGCACGAGGGGTCGTGTCTCGATCAATGAGAAGCAGCACCTAAGGCTTGCTTATCTACGCATAAATTAAGATCACAGCGCTCAAGCGCAATGAAGGCGTACATGTGGCGTAACGGCACCCATCACCACCGCGTGCGATCATTTCTTCGACAAGCCTAGAAGGGAGGATCAGCGCAAGACTTGACTGGTTCAACTCGTCGATACAGCATATTCTAACTTGATTGGCTTCGCTGAGCGAAAGAATGTCAAGTGAAAACTGCGAAGGCTCGTAGGCTGTAAATAACAAGACCGAAACCGTTTTCTTCTTCAGTGCTGTAGTGTCGTACAAACTCACGTGTCGTTAGAAAGAAAGGATGATTTGATGTGGACATTCAAGGACCGACGACCACCATTACCTCGCGCACGTGCCGTAGGAAAGCCTACGCATTGCGAGTACGTTGCAGATCGATGTGTGTGGCTAGAAGCAACCGAGCAACCAACCAAACAAACAGGTGAGATAAGCGCTTTGCAGTGGAGCTCAACTGTGCTTGGCTTCCATTGCTGAACCGATGCTCGATATGCCTAAGATTATGAGGACATGGAGCTTATTCAGGGTCGCAATCAAAGAGCTTCCACCATTTTAATCCTGTCTTCCACAGCATTAGCAGACGCCGGGTCCACGGAGCGGGTCCTCACTTAGAAACGCGGAAAGAGTGCCATTACGAATAAATGCTCGACATACGCTTTCTTCCTCTTTTCTAAATCGCTGCCTCTTCTTCGGGTCTCGAAAAGGCCCAAATGAATCGCCCCAACGCGCCGTCAACAATTGGTGCAACTTTACTTTCGCGTTGGTGCCAGTGAACAAAGCCGACCAGGACGTCCCCTCCTTCCGCTAGCAGGGGCAGCAGCTAACCCAGTGCCATGCCGCCACCCGCTGCGTCGCCGTCGTCGTCTCCATCCTCACATTGCAAACGCGTGTGGCGTTTTGTTACGTTCGGCCCCCGCCGGGCCCACCGGCAGTCCCATGCGGCGATTGAGTTGCTGGAAAAGTTTCGTCAGGGCCCAGCAACTCAAAGCGAGTGGAACCTGCTACTCTGGCGCGCGACGTTCCCGCTCGTGTCGCTCGTGCTGCTTACGTTGCTCTGCGTGGCCGGGCAGTTCGGCCACCTGGTCTACTCGCTGGTCGTCAATCCCGTGTGGTACTTCTGCAACTTGACCCTCGTCGCGTGTCCGTTCGTTGTGGTGTTTCGGTTTGCAGCACTCGAGAAAGAAGAAGAAGAAGAGGGAGGCGGAGGAGGAGAGCAGCCGACGATCTGGCGCTACTTGGCAGTCATCAGTGTAGGAATCAGTCTCGTTGAGTGGTACATAAGCGTACCGGCGAGCCGATACTCGTGGATTGTCGGCAATACGTTGTTTGGTATTGTTGCACTTGGAGCCGTGCCGCTATTCTTTAGTATGCACAGACGAACGGCACGATCGCAGTATGAGGATCTCGTGCTGGAGCAGGAGGAGCAAGACCAGCGACAAGTGCACAGCGCTGCTCAAGAAATGGACGAAGAGGCGGAGGAGGACAAAGACGCTAAAACGGCTGGAGCCATGCAGCAGACACAAGCAGGTCCATTGTTGCCGCCAGCGTCATTGGCTGTAAATGTGAATGCAGACAACAACCCGAAGATCATGATGATTAGGACGATGATGAAGGCATCGCTTGTGAGGCAACGATCGGGCGGATTCCAGAGTGAGAGTGAGACTTTTCGTCAGTCGGGAGGAGGCCTGAGTGAGAACGAGGTATTTCGACAGTCAGGACGACGAAGCCTGAGTGAAAATGAGAGTTTGCGACAGTGGAAAAAAAGCCATGGTGGAAACAAGACTGTTCGACAGCCGAAACACGATCAGATGCAACGAGAGGGGCAGCCATTGACGAGGCTGCTCTACGGGTGTGGCTTTTGCGCGTTGGTCCTGTGGCTTGTCATGTTCTCGCTGTACAGTTCGGCGCGCGGAGGGGATGCCTCAACACGATTCTGGTTTCTGCTGGACTTGCTGTCACCTATTTTATGCATTGTGCTCTTCAGTTCTCGTGTCGTGAGAGTTCGCTTCAGCTTTGAACACGCAGTGGCGTATAGCACGTTGGTTGTGCATGTTCCGCTGTTTCTCGGACACTTGTGCGTGCGGCTGTTTGCGCTTGCTGAAGACCCCTCCGCGTCGTCGGCGACCAGCATTGAGTCGTGGCTCAAACTGGCGATTTCGGTGCTCTATCTTTTCCTGATGCAAGGCTACTTCTTTGTGATCACGAACATGGTGAACAGCATGTCAGAACCATTCGCGCATCCATCGCTGCTGTACGTAGGACAGCTCTACTATTACGTTTTCTGGTACATCCTAGTAGGCTCGGACACACCCATCGACGCGCTGTACTGGGGTATGTTGTTCCTCAACAACGTCCACATCGCGTTTCTCAATACAGGTGTGTACACGGATTTCAAGCGCACATCGTCAGTCTGGCTGACCGCGCCGTTTCATGTTAACATCACGTCTCCACTTGTGTCTTGCTTGCGCTCAACAAGCTCAGCGTTTGATGTTTCAAGGTGCCTCCCGCATAGAACGTCAGTGCAAAAACAAGAACTTTTGGGGCTAAACTGTGGTGTAGCTGGAGCAGCAGCCATGGAGGCAAGCGACGATTTACTTGAAGACGGGGATCACTTTTGCAATCACGGTACCAGCAACAGCTCGAATAGCGTTGTCGCAGCACGAAACATTGATGAAAACGGAACTTGCGTCGGCGAGCTACCATCTTGGCAAAAACAAGACAGCAGGAATCGAGAACGAGACCGAAGCATCAATGACACCCACCGAGGTATCCAAGCTTTAGCCTGGGATTCAGCATTGCCCACTCGCAAGACCGGCATATGCAAAGTGTCGACGGTCCGTGGAAAATGTTCGCAGAGGCACATAACTTGCAAAAAGTGTGCGGGTCGAACAAGTGGGTCTTCTCAGTTTGGTAATGAGGATGTGGCTGCAGCAGCTTTAGGCGCGGGTTCTCGCGTAAAGACGTCTACAAGTGAAGCTCTTCGACCGCTTTACTTTCTCATGAAGCTAGCGGAACAAGACAACATGGCCGATACGACAGCACTTATACTGGTACCTTCGCTCTTGACGCTTCTGGCAGTTTTTGAGAAGCCAGGTAGTGCTCTCTCCGTACTACAAGACCAGACGAATCTGTGGCTGCGCTGCGTGTGCATGTTCATTGGTCGGCTTGGTGGCGCGTTCCTTGCCCGCGAGATCTTCACGTGCAAGCTGCGGTCGCGACTACGCTCGACATCGGAGGATTCATGTGAGACAGCAAGGCCCGATGGTATCAATGGTTTTGTCGATGGCATGCCTGTACGCCTTTGGATACAGCGTCTGATGTTGCAGGATTTCCATGCCCAGTTCTGGTACCTGACCGCCGTAACGATTGTTGTCACTTTCGGTTGCTTTGCTCGCGTCGACCTGCCATTACGTTTTGCTTTGCTTTAGCGAGGCGCAGAGGCAGCACAAGTAAACGCATCCCCCAAAGCAATGAGGATGTATGAGCAGACATCGAATCCATGCTGTACCGATATACAAGTGATATAGCCCAAGGCAGGCAGAGGTGTATTAGACAAAAGGTTGAAATTGGTGCTACGAAGGCGACGTGGGCGCGTTCTATGGATTCAATGTCGCCAATACCATGTACCTCGAGGGCTTGTCTGGAATACCAGCTACCGACTTCAACTGCGTATGCTTGGGTGATACACAAGAGTGGCAAGAATAACACAGTCACTGCTCGGGAGTCGGCCACTATTTCAGACAGCATGTTGTTACCAAACGCTGTGGGTTGAACACTGCTGTAAACGGCGATTGGCTGGGACTCCGTGTCGTTCTTTTTTGTATGTCCTTCTGCGCGCTTTCAGACCATGTTCTTCTGAACACTTCGGGGCCCCGATATGTCGATCCAGTAGCCCATGTCAAGCGCTCGAGACTGAAAGATACACAGCCCAGTCCATAGCCTTCCGGCCGTTTGTACCATGTCACGTCCACAAGGTGGATGTGCCATGGACGCTCATGGTGCACGCACATCTCGTTTGCAGTGCCCGCGTCGGAAACGGGTGTAGATTATCGCTGAGATCCAACGTGAGCATGAGCGCTGATCGGTCCGTAGCTGTGCCGTACATGGCGAGGCTGCACTACAAGCAGAGCGTTTGGTAACAAGGCGTGGAATTGCCACCACAGGTTCAGGTCGCGAGCTGCCAAAAGCTCATATTGCGGGCCGTCCATGTACGCCTGATTGTGCGCGTGTGATAATGCCGAAACTGAATTTACGGTACGGTGCATTGCTTACGCTTTACTAAACCAACACCTTCTGGTATACAACGCATCGTAACCACAGCGCGTGTGTTGCCAGTGTCTTTCCTACGATACGGTGGCTCGATGAAATGGAGCGATGTCTGGAAAAGAAAGTTGAATGTAAAAACACGCGTATATTCTTACTGGTCATCAGGCACTTGAAAAAGCGAATGCATCTGTAGTGGGCCACTGCACTCGCACAATATCCAGCGAACTCACTCATCCCAATCCATTTCATACTCGCGTTGAAGAAGCTGATATGAAGACCAGCCAGAGTTTTCTCAGCCTAGCCGTTTTTGCCGAACAGCACGTATAGTCGCGGGCTGTGAGACTCCCTTCCTTTTCTGGGTCTCTCCCTTCCTTTTTCCCCGCTCATTTGCAAGTGCTTTCTCAATCTTCTCCGCTTCGACGCACGAAGCCAAATCCATGTCGGTACCATGTTTTTCGTGATAGAGTTTGATGTACTCCTTCAAAGTGTCAGAACCTGCACCGTACTGCTCCAAAATGTCATCTTCTGCACGTGAGATGTCATCAATTTTCAAGTTGTTCATCTCGAGCAAGCCAATAACATTGCCGACGGATTTGCCACTATGCAGCCACCTCTTAAGCATCACAATATACAGCTGTCTTGCTCTAAACCCGGTGACTGGATTCATCTTTGTCTTTAACAAAACAGGCATAAGTTTGGCCGCGCCACCAAAGGCTGCCAACAGAGGATCCAGCAGACTGTCCAAATCAATTGCAAAGAAGAGGATACTGGCGACAAAATCGACGGCCGATTTCCCATCGCCCATCCGTCGCCACACGTAACCGTCGCGAATGTTCTTAGAAGTCCCCGTTCCTTCCAGTATCATCATTGCGAATACCTTGTCAGTAAACGTTTTTCGTAAAAACGGAAGCATATACTCCTCCTTGCCATATTTATTGTTATAAAGGTCAATGTATTGCGCAAAAGTATCCAGATTTTCCGATGTGATGCCTCTTTTGCCCAAGTCCAAAAGCTGGAGGAAGTTAAACACATCATCAATAGGTTTGCCACTGTCGAGCCACCTCTTGAGCATCGCATTCTGCAACTGCTCTGCTCTGAACCCGATGACTGAATCCATCTTTGCGGCCGAAAGAATAGGCGCGAGTCTGGCGGCGCCACCAGTAGCTACCAACAACGGATCCAGCAGGCTGTCCACATCGACTGCCATGTAAAGAATACTGCTGACGAAATCGACGGCCGATGTCCCATCGCCCACACGTTGCCACACGTGACTGCCGCGAATGTTCTTAGAAGTCCCCGTCCCTCTCAGTATCATCATTGCGAGTTACCTCGTCAGTAAACTTTCTTCGTAAAAACGAAAGCATATCCTCCTCCTTGCCATATACAACGTTATAAAGGTCAATGTATTGCGCAAAAGTATCCAGGTCTTCGTATGTGATGCGTCTCAATTCCGAGAGCTTGAGCCAGTTAAACACATCAACAGGATCGCCATAACCCAGCCAACTGTTAAGCATCACACGCTGCAACTCCTCTGCTCTATGCCCAACGACTTGACTCTTCTTCGCGATCGACAAAATAGGCGCGAGTTCGGCGGCGCCACCGAAGGCTACCAACAATGAATCCAGCGACTCATGTCCAGTCTGCATCGGCTCGCTCTTCACGCTACGTGTTTGGTCGTCAAAAGCGTGTCCCTGTTTGGCTTCCAAATCGGGTAAAAATTGGTCGTACATCGTTTGCGGTTGTCTCTTCTTCTCGTTCAAGATCGTCTGCACGAGGTGCTTTTCACTGTCGGCAGATTTACGAGCGTGACCAACAATCAAATTGAGAAGGGTGCTCTCCTGTGTATATTGCAGCTCAATTCCCGCAACATTGCACCGAGCTATCACCTCCTCGACAATCTGCGGCAAGACATGCGCGTCAATCTGTTTTAAGCGACCAACAGCTTCATCTGTAAGTTTGTACACGTCGCGATCGGCGTGCAATATACCCATGACTTTCTTCAACACCATATCTGGTCGTAGAATGTTACGTTGTTCTACAGATACGAAAGAGGCCAAGTCTTGCGGCATCTTGTCTTCCTCGTCCGTGGTAGAGCGCACCTTCACGGGACGATCGGCCGGGCCCCTGCTGTGGACACCGACATTGGTGCGGACACCGGTCGAAACGTCGACCACAGTCTCGTTCAAGCCGAACGAACTCGATACGCATATCGGGAGTGCAGCAGTGCCCAGGAGCGCGACGGCGTACACACGCATCTCCAGGCAGTGTTGTCGGCTACTCTGAGGACGACGAACGACTTTGAGAGACCAGACACGTGACTCGCGCAGCGGTCCAATGATTCTGGTGGGGAACCAGATGGTACAGCTGCAAATCTGTCGCCATCTCTTGTGGTACAGTAGGCTCTGTTT